AGCAATAAATGATTCATGAATCAGGCAGTCCCCAGAATCACGGGAGATTCACCAAGACTCTAGCACAGCCACGTGGTGGAAGGTTTTTTTTTTTCTTTCTTTTTTTGAGAACCAGTCTCCCTGTGACACTCAGGCTGGAGTATAATGGTGCCGTCTCGGCTCACTGCAACCTCTGCCTCCTGGGTTCAAGTGATTCTCCTGCCTCAGCCTCCCAAGTAGCTGGGACTACAGGCACGCACCACCACACCCGGCTAATTTTTTGTATTTTTAGTAGAGGCAAGGTTTCATCATATTGGCCAGGCTGGTCTCGAACTCTTGACCTCAAGCGATCTGCCTAACTCAGTCTCCCAAAGTGCTGGGATTACAGGCATGCCACCAAGCCGGCGCCATGTGGTGGAAGAAGATATATTGACAAAAAAAGGAAAGTGACGTACAGAAATCGGCAGTGAGGTACAGAAACAGCTGGGTCAGCTACAGGCTGGCGTTTGCCTTATTTGAACACAGTCTGAACACTTAGTAGTCTCTGAGTGGTTGAAGTATGGCCGCTGGGATTGGCGACCACCCCAGCTCAAGTGATCCTTCTGCCTCAGCCACCCAAGTGGCTGGGACTACAGGCATGTACTATTGTTTTGTTTTGTTTTGTTTTGTTTTGGCAATGGAGTTTCGCTCTTGTTACCCAGGCTGGAGTGCAGTGGTGTGATCTTGGCTCACCGCAACCTCCGCCTCCTGGGTTCAGGCAATTCTCCTGCCTCAGCCTCCTGAGTAGCTTGGATTACAGGCACACGTCACCATGCCCAGCTAATTTTTTGTATTTTTAGTAGAGACAGGGTTTCACCATGTTGACCAGGATGGTCTCAATCTCTTGACCTCATGATCCACCCACCTCGGCCTCCCAAAGTGCTGGTATTACAGGTGTGAGCCACCGCGCCCGGCCCCCTCCTCCTTTTTTTTTTTTTTTTTTTTTTTTTTTTTAATAGAAATGGGCTTACACCATGTTGCCCAGTCTGGTCTTGAACTCGTGAGCTCAAGTGATCCACTGCCTCGGCCTCCCAAAGTGCTGGATTACAGGCATAAGCCCCGGTGTTCAGACCTTCTTTGTTTGTTTAATGATGTGGATAAACTATTTCAGTCAAGTCTGTTTCCTTTGCAGTGTGCAGCTTCTAATGTCACACCTCAGGGGGTGCAGCCTTGGACATGCGTGCAGTCACCCGGACTATGCAGCGTTTTCTACGGTGCTGTCTTTGACTTTCTCCTTCCCTGATCTCTCTGTTAATCTCTGTGCCTCTGTTGGTCTCACACCCAACTGTCAGCCTCCACTGACTGCAGGCTAATTGTTCTACTGTTTTCAAAAATGCTCTGGGGGTAATAATTGCGCTATGTACTTCTCCAGGTCCAGCTCCTCTAGAGTGTGAGATCTTCGGAGGTATCCATAAACACGCTTAAGAAGCCAAAAATTATATTATTTGTCATGAGTTTTAAAAAGATAATTACACCTAACTAGTATAGTGAATCTTGTAACCCCTTAAGACAAACCTAAGTAAAATCTTATAAAGATACAATAACATAAATATCTACCATGCATCTACGCACTGGGGTAAAGCCTCTTCTATAACTTTCATTTTCTGTAGAAACAAAAAACGAAAAAAACATCAACTAAAAACATAAACAATAGGCATTAAAAAGGGGGCCTGCCAGGCCGGGCGCGATGGCTCAAGCCTGTAATCCCAGCACTTTGGGAGGCCGAGGTGGGTGGATCACGAGGTCAAGAGATCGAGACCATCCTGGTCAACATGGTGAAACCCCGTCTCCACTAAAAATACAAAAAATTAGCTGGGCATGGTCGCACGTGCCTGTAATCCCAGCTACTCGGGAGGCTGAGGCAGGAGAATTGCTTGAACCCAGGAGGCGGAGGTTGCGGTGAGCCGAGATCGCGCCATTGCACTCCAGCCTGGGTAACAAGAGCGAAACTCCATCTCAAAAAAAAAAAAGGGTGGGGGGGCCTGCCTTCTAGTTCCAAGCCCTGCAGCACTCGGAGGTCGGAGGTCAGTAACTTTCCCTTCCAGTCCCCTTGGGTGGTTTCACTTTAGAGTGGCCTCTAGCAAAACACCTCCCTGTGAAGGAATGGCTTTCCCTAGCACCCAAGAGGGTGGATTTTCAGCAAATTTGTTGAGTGTGTGTGTTGGGGGAAGACACCAGCGAGTCCCACTGGTGTAGCAGCAGAGCAAATTCTCTGTCAGTTCAGTGAGTCACACCATGCCCTTTCCAACAAGAGCTGGGTCTCAGCCCTATGGGTGGGAACTTTCGTGGGTGCGCTATTTAAGCCCTAGGGATAGCGGTAGGGGTAGTGGTGTTTCCTTATATGTATAATTTCTGTTTTTGTTTTTGTTTTTTTTGAGACTGAGTCTCACTCTGTCACCCAGGCTGGAGTGCAGTGGCTCCATCTTGGCTCACTGCAACCTTCGCCTCCTGGGTTCAAGCAATTCTCCTGCCTCAGCCTCCCAAGTAGTTGGGATCACAGGTGCCTGCCACCATGACTGGCTGATTTTTGTATTTTTAGTAGAGACAGAGTTTCACCACGTTGGCCAGGCTGTTTCTTGAACTCCCGACCTCAAGTGGTCCACCTGCCTCGCCCTCCCAAAGTGCTGGGATTATGAGACATGAGCCACCATGCCCAGGGTTAATTTCTGTATTATTTTGAGCTCTCTTTACTTCTTGTGAGCCAAGCCCTTGTCACTCCAATGCCCGGTGGAAGTTCAGAATTCCTGATGTGAAGCTTTCCTTCCCACACGCAGATGCCGGGCACTGTCAAAGCTTTAGGTGCTGCAGGATCCCGCTGTGTGAGCACCTGAAACCTGGAAGCAGAACCCTTCTCTTCTGCGATGTCTCTCTAGGACCCTTTACCGCCAAAGCATAGGCACCAACAGGAAAAGGCAAAATACGTAGAGGTTCCAGCTCCATTTTCACAGAGCAGACCCAAATTGTGTGTTTGGAATGGAGAAGTACTCACTGGAGAACTGGCAAAAACTCAAATGTCTGTCAGTAGCAGAAAAAGAAAAAAATGGTGTTATACACATACAGTGGAAGGATACAAATGAATGAGAATGAATGAACAGATATACACAACAGGGAAGAATCTCACAAACATGATGTCAAGTGAGAGACACTAGACATAAAAGAATGCTGTCTGGACTGGAGTGCAATAGCACAATCTCGGCTCACTGCAACCCCCGCCTCCTGGGTTCAGACGATTCTCCTGCCTCAGTCTCCCGAGTAGCTGGGATTACAGGAGCCCATTCACCACATCCAGCTAATTTTTATATTTTTAGTAGAGACGCGGTTTCACCATGTTGGCCAGGCTGGTCTCAAACTCCTGACCTCGTGATCTGCCTGCCTCGGCCTCCCAAAGTGCTGGGATTACAGGCTTGAGCCACTGCACCAGTTTGGACCCTGTCATTACAAAACAAACACACACAAGAATACTGTCTGCATGATTCCAATTATTTAAATTCAGAAACCATTCTGAGTCTCTGCTAATGGGGGAAGGAGAATGGCTACCTGTGGTGGGTGCCATAACTAGAGGATGGGTGGTAATGGGGAGAAGGGAACGTGTGGGTGCCAGAGGTGTTGGTACCCTGATTTGGGTTGTATAGGCCTCCAGGGCCTGATCCTTCAGCGGTAAGATAGGCCTTGGCCAGCTTTCCTCATCAGGGTGTGGTTAGGGTGAGCACAGCACAGCTCAGCCCAGCTCCCTAGCTAGCTGCCCTAACCCTACTTTTGTTTTCTTTTGTTTTGAAACAAGGTCTCACTCTGTCACCCAGGCTGGAGCGCAGTGGCGCAATCTCAGCTCACTGCAGCCTCCACCTGCCAGCCTCACACGATCCTCCCACCTCAGCCTTCTGAGTAGCTGGGACTACAAGTGTGCATCACCACCTCGAGCTAAGGTTTGTATTTTTTGGTTGAGGTAGGGTTTCGCCATGTTGCCGGGGCTGGTCTTGAACTCCTGAGCTCAAGCTATCTGCCTGCCTTGACCTCCCAAAGTGATGGGATTACAGGTGTGAGCCACTGTGCCTGGCCCCCTCACCCCAATTTAATGCTCCAATCGAGGCCACAGGGGAGGCATAGAGTAGCCGAGTGGTTAAGAGGTTCATCTCAGACCGGAGTCTGCCAGACTTAAACCCTACCTCTCCCGTTTATTAGCTCCATGGCCCTAGATGAGTTCTCTGCTGTCAGCGTCCCCGTTTCCTCATCTGTAAGGTGGACATCATTATAGTGCCTGGGGAGTAAGTATTCATAAAAGAACTCAGGGGCCGGGTTGCGGTGGCTCACGTCTGTAATCCCAGGACTTTGGGAGGCCAAGGTCTGGGCATTACAAGGTCAGGAGTTGGAGACCATCCTGGCTAACAAGTGAAATCCTGTCTCTACTAGAAATACAAAAAATTCGCCAGGCGTGGGGGCGGGCGCCTGTAGTCGCAGCTACTCAGGAGGCTGTGGCAGGAGAATCGCTTGAACCCGGGAAGCACAGGTTGCAGTGAGCTGAGGTCGCGCCACTGCACTCCAGCCTGGTGTCTGGTGGCGGAGTGAGACTCTGTCTCAAACAAATAAATAAATAAAATGAAATGAAATAAGGACTCAGAAGGGGACCTGTCATGTGGTCAGCACGACACAAGCGTTTGTCAAATTAAAATATCTAACACTGTCAGGCTCCAAGCCTACTTCCCAAAATGGTTCTGATCATTTCTTTCTCTCTTAGAAGTAAGCAATGTGGATAAAAATTGTCCCCACCCCAGCCCTGGGCGCCATTTGTCGAGAGGGAAGATGAGGCTGGATAGAGCCTAGTTTTGCCTGCAATGACATTCCTCCCTCCTGGTCCCAGGACCCCAGAAGATCATCACTACCAGAAAACACACCAACCTTTGCCCTGGTACAGCCAGAGGCCCAGAGGGTGCAGAGGTGGTGACAGAGGGAGACCTTATTTTAAAAACAAAACCAAACAGGGGTTAGGGCAGCCAGCTGGGGAGCCGGGATGTGCTGTGCTCACCCTAAGCACACTCTGACGAAGAAAGCTGCCCAAGTCTCCTCTCTTAACAGTTGAAGGATCAGGCCCTGGAGGCCTATACAATCCACGTGAAATCTCTTTCCAGGGTTCCCAGGAGCTGAGACAGATGCCCATTTGAGCCTGATCTTCCTGAAGGTCTTTGCGAAGCCCACCTCCCAAGACTCCCCTTGAAGGGCGGAACTGGTTTTTCTGGGTCCCCACATTGCTTAGGGAAACAGGTTCTTCTAGCTCCCCATTGGCCCTTTTGTGCTTACTCTGAGAAGCCAGGTCAGGCCACTGTGTCAGGCTTAGCCCAGAGAGAGTGGGGTGGAGGAGGCGGAGGGTATAACCCGGCTGGGTCCTCTCCACACAGGCTCTCAGGCAAGCTCCCTGGGGTAGCAGCTCCTTGAGGCCCCAGGAACATGGCTGTCCCGTGGCTGGTGCTGCTCTTGGCGTTGCCTATCTTTTTCCTGGGAGCCTTTGTCTGGGCTGTCTTTGAGCACTTCCTCACCACAGATGTCCCCGCCACCATGCAACAGCGTGCCAAGTTGAGAGCCCTGCATTGCGGATTCCTGTATGTGCTCACTTTGGTGAGTTCACTCTCGGGCCATATCATAACCCGCGGGCGGTTTCTCTCGTTCTCAGTACCTTTCCCTCTCTTCCTCTTTCCCTTCCCTTCGGACTCCCTCAACATACACTTGCCTCTTCTGTATCTGCTGTTCCGTTTTCCTCCTCCGCTCTGTTCCTTCCCCGTTCCCATAGCCGGCCTCCCTCCCTGCCTGCGTTTTTCCCTTTCTTTCTTCCTCTCTCCTGCTCTAACTCCCTTCCTTTCTCTCTTCAGCATCAAACCTTTACTGAGTGCCAGTCACTGGGCTCTTTTCTGAGAATTCGAAAACCATTTCAGACCTAGTCCCAGCCTTCCATGGGCTTGTGACCCGACAGGGCCCTGCACCTCCTTCAGCCACAACATCTTTCAGCCTCGGTGCACTGACTTGCCTACAAGTTGTTTCTGTTCTATTTTATTTTATCGAGACAGGCTCTTGCTCTGTTGCCCAGGCTGGAATGCAGTGGTGCAATCACGGCTCAATGCACCTTAACCTCCTGGGCTCAAGCGATCCTTTCCATCTCAGCGTCCCAAGTAAGCTAGCTGGGACTACAGGTGTTCACCACCATGCCTGGCTAATTTTCGTACTTTTAGTGGAGACAGAGTTTTGCTCTGTTGCCCAGACTGCTCCAGAACGCCTGAGCTCAAGCAATGTGCCCACCTTGGCCTCCCAAAGTCTAGGAATGACACGCGAGAGCCGCCGTACCTGCCTCACAGGTGTTTTCTCCTTGTTAATCTCTGTGAGCTCAGTCCCACTCACAACACCTGGCATCCGGTAGGTGCTGACTGTTTGTTGATACAGTCAGACATGAATTTACGTAGGATTTCCGAGTGGCCGAGCCAGCTAGGCTCTGAGCCGGGATTCGGGGCTGGGGGTTTGGCAGGGCTCAGCCCACTCCCGGAGTTGCAGTGGATTTGAAAACAATGGTTTGGCATCTTGCTTGTGGCAGGCAACCTGAGTTAACCCCATGTCCCAACGGCGGGTGGAGTCAAACAGCTCCTGCCGATTACAGGGCAGCTGTGGAGGAGGATGGGGAGGCCAAGCTTAATTGACAGGAGGGCTTAGGGATAAGGAACAGAGACTCCAGCCAGACTGCCTCAGTGTGTGTGGTGTGTCCCGGGGTGTGTCCTGAGTGTGTGTGGCTGTGTCCAGCTCTGCCACTCACTCGCTGTGTGGTCCCGCACCATTTACTTACCCTCTCTGTGTCTCAGTTTCCTCATCTGGGAGGGTTCATGTGTTGAGAGATGTTTAGTGAGTTCATAAAATATGTTTCTGAGCTGCCGGAATTGTTCCCTATGAGTAACTAACATTCTCTAAAAGAGAAATTGTCTTTCATTGAGACAGGGTCTTGCTCTGTTGCCAGGCTGGAATGCATTGGTACGACCGTGGCTCAGAGCAGCCTTAACCTCCCCGGGCTCAAGCGATCCTTTCCATCTCAGCCCCAGGCTGGTCTAGAACTCCCAGGCTCAAGTGATCTTGTCTTGAAATCGTCTTTTAGAGAATGTTTGTTACCCATGGGGAAATTTACAGAAATGAATGAGTTCAGTTCGCAATGGCAGAAATGCTGTTGCCTCAAGGAGGCAGGCCGAGGCCGTAGGAAGTACTCTTGTCTCTCTCATTTGGAGAACGGAATCAGCCTGGAATTAGGCCGACTCATGGCAGTGGCTGCAATCCATATGAAATTACTGGCTCGGTTAGGGCCCAAGGATTTAAAACAAGGGTCTAAGATATTCAAGTAGCCCAGAGACATTAAGATTTTTCTAACCTTCAGTGTTTCTCCTCCAAAGTAGCCCACAAGCTGAGCATCTACTGTGACAGCAGCTACAGGCCGCTCACAGGAGACTCTGAGATGGGTCTGCAGCGGCTGAAAGGGTGGATTTGGCTTGTGACGTCCTCTCTTGATCCCTCCAGCCCTGGGCCCTCCGGGGCACACTGCCCATCATGGGGTGACGATGGTGAGGATGAAGACATCCAGTAGTGAATGTTCATTCATTTCCAGAGGACAGGTAGACATCACAGGAACAAGAATTTTGGGGAGGACAAGGAAAAAGCTAAAAAGAGTCTACGGCCAGGAAATTAAGAGCTTTGTTTTGGTATCAGACTACCCTGGGTCTGAGCTCTGAAGCCTTACTCGCTTTGTGGACTCATGATTTTGTGCCTTTATTTTCTTCTCTGAAAAATGAATTTTTTTTTTTTTTTCTGAAACAGTCTGTCACCCAGGCTGGAGTGCAGTGACGTAAACACCACTCACTCAGCCTCCCACCTCCTGGGCTCAAGTGATCCTCCAACCTCAGCCTCCCAGGTAGCTGGGACCACAGGTGTGCACCATCACATCACGCCTGGCTAATTTTTTGATATTTTGTACAGATGGGGTCTTGCTATGTTGCCAAGGCTAATCTTAAACTCCTGGATTCAAGCAATCCTCTTGCCTTGGCCTCCCAAAGTGCTCGGATTACAGGGATGAACCACGGTTCACGGCCCAGGGGAGGCCTTGTATAGGGTGATGTGGGGATTAAATGAGAAAGCATCAAATATGCACAGTACAGTGCCAGGTGCTTAGAAAGGCTCAATAAAAGTCGAGTATTCATAGTATGCTTATCAAGTCCCTGAAGGCAAAGATGTAGCATTTCTTGAAGTTATTATAGATTTAAGAGTTGCTACGAATGATTTCAGCCTTACTAAAATATATAGAGTAATCTAACAAACACTACTGCTTTTCTTTTTCTTTTCTTTCTTTCTTTCTTTTTTTTTTTTTTTGGTTTTTTGAGACAGGGTCTCAGTCTGTCACCAGCCAGGCTGAAGTGCAGTGGCACAATCATGGCTTACTGCAGCCTCCACCTCCGGGGCTCAAGTGATCCTCCCACCTCAACGTCCTGAGTACCTAGGCACCGGCCACCATGCCCACGTAACTTTTTTTTTTGCATTTTTTGGTAGAGATGGGGTTTCGCCATGTTGCCCAGGCTGGTCTTGAACTCCTGGGCTCAAGAGATCTGCCTGCCTTGGCCTCCCAAACTGTTAGGATTACAGATGTGAGCCACTGCACCTGGTCTCTATAGCTTTTCTTTTAAAGGGCAAATGATGCAGTATTTGTCAAGGAGTTTCAACAGCTATCTAAAATTCTGAACCTCAGATATTTATTTTCTGTAGAGATGGGGTTTCTCCATATTGTCCAGGCTGGTCTTGAACTCCTAGGCTCAAGGGAGGAAAATGGTCCCATGTGAACATGACCCTTGAGCCTGGATATGAAAGTCAGTTTGGTGTCCACCTACCTGCTGGACAGGTAAGAAAGGCTTCCAGGAAACAAAGGAAGGCATGGAGAAGCCCTTAGTGTGTAGGTGAACAGGGCAAACAGCTGGGGAGATCAGAGCTGGAGTCAGCCTGTCCCAGCAACAGGTGCCATGACCTCAGGGAGCTCATAGCTGAGCAGATGAAGGTTCATGCTGGCACACATAGAGGTCTGGGGTTTTCAGATGTGAGTCAGGTAATGGAAAAAGCAGGTGACCTCCACCTTGCAGATCAACTCGTTCTCCAACCAAAGCAAGGAAATCATTATTTTGCTTGGAGTGCCTTTCGGGGAACCCCTTCATGGAGGGAATCGATTGGGGTAGTCTGTCGGACCTTGGACAAGACCCAGTGGGTGCAAGCAAGAGAAAGGGTGGGGCTTGCACTGGCCAGAACCCACTGGGGAGACACTCAATGGAGGTGGTCAGATCCCAACCTCACACCTCATCTTTGCACCATACACACCATGCTTCTGATTTTGTAGACAAGGGAAATTGAAGCTCAGAGACAGTAATGCCCAAGGCTTTTCAGTTAACTGGAGTTGGGTTCAGACTTGAGCTTGGATAGGCTAGGCTCCAGAACCCAAGCTCGTTCTCCTTCAGCAGTTGAGAACACAAAATTTGTATCTTACTTGTTGAACAACCCTGGGCAAGGAACTTGATCTTGCCATGCCCTAAGTTCCCGATTTGTAAAATGGAGCTGGTGATTGTGCTTGACTTAGAAGGTTACTGAGTTTAATCAAGTCAACGATTCATGCCACTTGGGGCAGTACTGGCACATTGTAAATGTCTAATAAGTATCAGCTGTTCTTATTTTTTTCTTTCTTATCATCCCTTGCTGTTTTCTTTATGACAAAGATGCTCTCCAAATGTGAAGTCTGTGGGAGAGATTATCCAGAATGGCTGAAATGTACTTAGTATGCAAAATACGACACCTTGTAACTACATTTCATGAAAAATTCAGATGTTGACTTGTTTATAATTAGAGTGGCCATGTTAATTTAAAAACACATTATTCCCTTGACCTGAGCCCACAACAGACATCCCTAATGAATCACATTGCTCTTTTTAGTTGAACACGGACACAGTTAGGAATCCTTCCTAATGTGGAAGGAGAATGTGTTGATGCAGGTGAGGAACTGCCTTTGCATCCCAGGCTGGAGAGAGGCCAGCATAGAGCTATAGAGAGAGAGGTTGCTGGTCAGTTGCCTTGGACAATTGGCATCGCTAAGTCAGTGGCTTCTTCCCACTCAGCCCCAAACTAGGCTATCCTTTGGCAAATTCACACCATTATTCAATCAAAAGCCTTTGGGAAGAAAGGTTGGAAAACCCAGCCCCCTACCTGGACACAATCCAGAGTCCACTGATTCCTGATGAGCCTCCTTTACCTGCAGGAGGCAGGTGAGAAACTGTGAAAACGTTCTAACAATTCTAAGTGTCGGGGAATCTATCATCCGGATTTTAACTTCTTCTAATGTATGGCTTTCTTTCATGACTTCCAATAGGGGAACATACTTGAGAAGCTGGGAATTTGCTCCATGCCCAAATTTGTCCGTTTTTTACATGATAGCATGAGAATTAAAAAGGACCCTGAACTTATAGTGACTGACCTGCATTTTGGGACGATACCTGTGAGGCTGTTCCAGCCCAAGGCAGCATCCTCCAGACTCCGGCGAGGCATCATCTTCTACCATGGAGGGGGCTCAGTATTTGGGAGCCCAGGTAAGTGGCTTCCCTGTGGCTTTGTAGAGGTCGGGCCTCATATGCATGCGTAGCCGAGTTCATGCCTCCCGCAAGAACCCGTCTGCAGTAGCTCAAAGGAATCCGTTGTTGGAATTTTTTTGTAAGGTTAATAGCCCAGACTAAGGGCTTTGGGCTCAGGTCAGTAGATGGTGTGGAGCCTACATGGGAAACCTTTTCCTTTCTATAATATGATAGTCTCGGTCAAGATGGGGACAGCAGCATCATGGTGGGGCTGCCACAGAGGCTGTTGACACCTCTCTCCCCTTTCTGCTCACAGTCTGCCCTGTCTCATGTTAGTGATCCCAAACCCATGTATTTCCCTCTAGCTCTGCAGTGTCGCTATCACCCAGGGCCCCATTGGTGCTTCCCTGTCCCCTTGCACCCAGCCTCCCAGCCACTGGTCTCCCTGGTTCGCCTCTCGATCCTCACATCTGGTCCCCACCCAGAAGGATTTTTTTTTTTTTTTTTTTTTTTTTTTTGAGATGAAGTCTCGATCTGTCACCCAGGCTGGAGGGAGTAGTGTAATGGCATGATCATGGCTCACTGAAACCTCTGCCTCCCAGGTTCAAGCGATTCTCCTGCCTCAATCTCCTGAGTAGGTGGGATTACAGGCGCTCGCCACCATGCCCAGCTAATTTTTGTATTTTTAGTAGAGATGGCGTTTCACCATATTGGCCAGGCTAGTCTTGAACTCCTGACCTCATGATCCACCCACCTCGGCCTCCCAAAGTACTGGGATTACAGACATGAGCCACCGCACCCAGTCTTCTGCAGCTATTTCAATAGTTTCCTTTTGCTAGTTGTGTGAAACTGCTCTCCGGAATTTTCTGTTCTTCTGCTACCACCCTGTGTAATTCCTATCTCATTTTTTTTTTCCCTTAGAGATTTCTGTCTCTTATACTTAGGAGTTGACGAGGGAGGAGGTCAGTCTTCAGTATCTATTTCCTGCTGACTGAGGTGTCAGCCCCGCCTAGTGTGGGCTTGGCAATCTCTGGATGCCTCATATACGGGTCTCAAGGGTGAGTCATCAGGAGGATCTGAATCCAAGGCAGGGATTGGTTGGAATCCTGCAGGACCATCCTTTTGACATGGAACTGTTGTAATTTATTAGGTTGGTGCAAAAGTAATTGCCGTTTTTGCCATAAAAGGCGAAAACCATTTGCGCCAACCTAATAGAAGAAATAAACTTTAGAAGAAAATTAAACAAGCAAGGACCCAAGATTGGAAGTAATAAGACAGCTATTAAAAGTCCCAGGAAAGGTAGGACTCATGTCACACTTGGTCGGTATCCCTGGATGGAACCCCAGGTGGTTTCAGCAGTGAGGTAATTGAAATGATACAGCCGGCTGGGTGCGGTGGCTCACGCCTGTAATCCCAGAACTTTGGGAGGCCGAGGTGGGCGGATCACCGGAGTCAGGAGTTAGAGACCAGCCTGATCAACATGGAGAAATCCCATCACTACTAAAAATATAAAAAAATTAGCTGAGCGTGGTGGCTCATGCCTGTAATCCCAGCTACTTGGGAGGCTGAGACAGGAGAATCGCTTGAACATGGGAGGTGGAGGTGGTGAGCTGAGATTGTGCCATTGCACTCCAGCCTGGGAAATGAGAGCAAAAACTCCATAAAAAAAAAAAAAAAAAAAAAAAAAAAAAGAAAGAAAGAAAGAAAAAAGAAAGAAAAAGAAAGAGCCAGGCACGGTGGCTCATGCCTGCAATCCAAGCACTTTGGAGGCCAAGGTGGGCAGATCACCTGAGGTCAGGAGTTTAAGACCAGCCTGACCAACATGGTGAAACCCCATCTTTAAAAAAAAAATTGAAAAAAGAAAGAAAAGAAATGGTATAGCCAGATAGCCTGCTGGTAGAACTTTGAACCAGCTGTTCCACTAATCTTGAATTGTTAATAGAAGAACGACAGTATGGTTTGTTACCGCACAAACTCCTCCGAGTGGTTTATGCTCTGGTCCTCTTAGGGGATTGTACAATGGCTTAGTAGTGAGCTTAAATCCTGGGATCCAAGTCCTGTAAGATCTTGGCGTAGCCAGGAAAGTTCTAAGTTGCTTCTTTGTTTGTGGAGGTCCCGCCTTCGAGATCGCCTCCTTTCATTTGACGGACAAGACCTGGTTCCCTGGGCTTAGTGTGTGCCCTGGGTATTTTATTTCAGGTTTAGAAATCTGGGCCTTGGATGAAGAGAACTCATACCCTCTTTCTCCCAGAAAGTTTAGGACCTGAATGGCATTCTTCTCTGCGTCCTCTTTAGTGGGACTGCGTACAAGAATAAATTCCACACATCAGAGTATCCCCCCGTTTCTAGCTCTAGCTCCCTTAATTCTCGTGCCAGGACATTACACGTGAGTGCCACCCCCTAAGCACAGAGGCAGTACCGTCCAGGTGTGCCGGTGGTAAATAGTAGTAGTTCCAGAATTGGGCCACTCAAAAACACACAAATACTGAGAGTCAGGTGCAAAGAGCCACAAACGAAATCATCCATAAGATCTAATACCATAAACCAGTTGGTGTCTCCCAGTATTTGGGTAAATATGGTATAAGGATTTACACTATAGGATGTAAGAGAATTATGGTCTTATTAATGGCTTATAAGTCTTTTTTTTTTTTTTTTTTTTTTGAGACAGAGTTTTGCTCTTGTTGCTCAGGCTGGAGTGCAATGGCATGATCTCGGCTCACCGCAACCTCTGCCCCCTGGGTTCAAGCGATTCTCCTGTCTCAGCCTTCCAAGTAGCTGGGATTACAGGCACCTGCCACCCTTCCCAGCTAATTTTTTGTATTTTTAGTAGAGATGGGGTTTTCGCCGTGTTGACCAGGCTGGTCTCGAACTTCAGACCTCAGGTGATGCACCCGCCTCGGCCTCCCAAAGTGCTGGGATTACAGCTCTGAGCCACCGCACTTGGCCAATGGCTTGTATGTTGAACTAGACAGGAGTCTCACTTTGGTTTTTGGACAGGGAGGACAGGTATATTACAAGGAGGTCAACCTGGAATGAGGAGGCCATGTTTTCACAGCTTCTCAATTAGAGGTTGCAATCCTTGCCTGGCTGCTTCTTTGAGAGGATACTGATGCTTATGTGGGGAATTATTTTTGACTTTTAAAGAGAGGATCACTGACTGAGCACGTATTGCTTTGCCAGGGTTTCTGATTTCTTGGTTTCATACTTGTGGGTCTACCTGAGACCTTATTTCGGTGTGTGTGTGGGGTCTCCTGTTTTTCTGAGGCTGGCTTAGAAATAATAAGCATTGCCAATAAGGAGGGCTTTCCGGGGCCTGATACACTTAAAGCGGATTTGTTTATTGGGATGATTAGACAGTCTCATCCCAATAAACGAATGGGACATTCTGGCGTAACTGGAAACTCATGAGTTACTATATAGTGTCCTAGCCTGCAGCTCAGGGGTAAAGTAAAGCGCTTTGATTTTGGTGTGTCATCAACACCAGTGACACTGTAGCTGTTGGAGGGTAAGGGCTCAGGGTAGCTGTTTAGGGGAGAGTAAGTGGTCCCTGAGTCAATTAAGAAGTTAATATTCAGCGGACTCGGTGGCTCACGCCTGTCATCCCAGCACTTTGGGAGGTGGAGGCTGGCAGACCAATTGAGGTCGGGAGTTTGAGACCAGCCTGGCCAACATGGAGAAACCCCGTCTCTACTAAAAATACAAAATTAGCCAGGTGTGGTGGCACATGCCTGTACTCCCAGCTACTCTGGAGGCTGAGGCAGGAGAATTGCCTGAACCCAGGAGGCGGAGGTTGCAGTGAGCCGAGACTGCGCCATTGCACTCCAGCCTGGATGACAAGAGCAAAACTCCATCTCAAAAAAAAAAAAAAAAAAAAAAGAAAGAAAGAAAGGAAAGAAAAGAACAAATGGAAATTTATATTCTTACCAGCCATGTCAAGAGCCACTGAGGCTCCTCAGCTGTGATGACATGATTTGGTGGGAGCTGCCAGGAACCTCAGGCCTCTTTAGTTCTCGGTTGTGGCCACTATGGCATTGGGTGTCCTCCTCTCCCTTCGGAGCTCCGGCAATCCCTTTTCCAGTGGCCCTTCCACGTGCAGTGAGGACAGGGTCTTGGTAGGCTCCCTGGCTGGGCAGTCCTTGCCCCAGCGTCCTGGCTTTTCACACGTGAAGCAGCAACCGTTGCCCGCACGTTTGCTGTTAGGCCCGTTTGGCCCATGGCTGAAGCCTCCCTCTGGATGACTGATTTTGCAGGGCACTGCTTACACTGCCACAATGGCAGCTGTCATTCGGGCCTGCTGTTCGTCCCACTGTTTGCCACGCTGGGTCTTTTCAACCTCTTCAGCCCTGTCCCTATTATTGAATATCCCAAAAACCACATCAAACATTTGATTAGCAGGCATTTGGAGTCCCAAAGCCAATTTCTGTAATTTTCTCCTGATGTTGGGCACTGGCTGGCTAATAAAGGGTTCTGATCGGCCGGGCGCAGTGGCTCACACCTGTAATCCCAGCACTTTGGGAAGCCGAGGCGGGCAGATCACCTGAGGTCAAGAGTTAGAGACCAGCCTGACCCACACGGAGAAACCCCGTCTCTACTAAAAACACAAAAAAATTGGCCAGGCGTGGTGATGCATGCCTGTAAGCCCAGCTACTTGGGAAGCTGAGGCAGGAGAATCACTTGAACCCAGGAGGTGGAGGTTGGGTGAGCTGAGATCGCGCCACTGCACTCCAGCCTGGGCAACAAGAGCGAGATTGCATCTCAAAAAAAAAAAAAAAAAAAAAAAAAAAGATTGGTTCTGTTAAAAAGCCATGAAGGCCTGTATATATGGTATTTCAGTCCATTTCTCCTGGCATTTATGAAAAAATCCTAATTGCAAGATGGTATTACAATTTACGGTTTCATTCTCTGGCTATTGTACCCTATTTTCCAACTTACGTTGGGGCCAAATGGTGTTATAGAAAGAATTGAGTTTCTCCTGAGCCCATCAAGTTTAAAATTATTCCAGTTTTTAAGAATGCGTC